AAGGTTAAATATTTATTTTCAACCTCCTTTAATTGTTGCATGAGTTTATTTTTAATATTATATTTGGTAAATATTTTCAAAAATGATTTATCTAACACATTTCTTTCGTAGATGACTTCTTTGGTAAATGTGGTCACCATGATTCAGTTGTAACTTTTAGACCGAGTCTAGGGGGTTACATTAGTATTTTTTTAATCATTTTTTAAAATAGTCCAATATGATTATATGTTAGTATTTTTTAGAATTTTATTAATCTATGATAATACACATACCCTATAAATAAAGTTGCTCGAACTCATATCTTCTAAGATAAATAAAATTATTTTATCATTTTCATTATGTGTTTGCATGAGATAAATTATTAAGGTATGAATGGAGTTTCAAGACTATTAGTCAAAATTATGACTCTGATTCTGATAAGACTGCAATGTTTACCGGAATATTCAATCTCTAATGCTTTATGATTTCTAATTTTATATTTTGTTACCTTTAGGTTTTGACCTCTATTCGGCTAATTTATTTTGTTCCATTACTATTTGGGGTTGTTTTGATGGTAGAAAAGATGATTATTGGAGAGAAAATACTTTTTCGAAATCTAATACCTATGTTTGAATTGAAAATATTCTCAATAGAGATTAATAAACTATTCCCGTAAAATTTTGTGGATGTTTTACCAGAAATATCAATCCCTCCCATTTTTTTAGTTATTTCTCAATTCATACTAAAAATGCCCTTGAAACAAAAGAATTATTTCAAAAATACCTTTCCCTTTGTTCCTTATCGTAAAATCTCGAGTTTTATTATTTGTCCTTGTTGAGTCAATCGAAAGGATGAAATAGTTAAGAGGGGGTGAATTGACAATTAAAAATTTGGTGGAAGCTTAAGAGGAAAAATTAAACAAATGAACACAAGAATTTAGTTTGGTTCGAGTTTATCAACAAAAGTCTACCTCCACTACCTTAGCTATCCACACTAAGGATTTTCACAAATTCACTAATTTGTATCTACTTTTGAGGATAAGGTGTAACCCTACAACACCCTCAAGAATGATTTTCAAAAAAAAAATTATACCCCAAATTCTTGAGACACTCTTTCAAAGAGAAAAATTACAAATTGCAAACTTATAAAAAAAAACCTCACAATGAATGTGTTTGCACAATTCAATAACAAATAAGAACATTTGATAAATGAATACAAATAAGAACAAGAAGTGTTCTTTGAAAGAAAAAAGAATATTAAAGAATGTTGACTTGATTTAGCTCAAACTTGATGTTTATTGTCTCTTATCTTCACAAATGGCTTGGGATCTTGTTTATATACTCCCTCAATCAATTCTAACCGTTTGAGTTGCTGTGAGAGTGAATAGAGCCGTTGGGGAGGACAATTTCCCACTTTAAATGTTGCTCAGAAGCTTGTAATATCGATACTATATCTATAAGTGTCGATACTCCTTGCATTAAATACAAAAATTCGACTGTTGGGAAACATCAGTATCGATACTGTCACAAGGGTATCGGTACTACTATATTCAATAGTATCAATACTGTACATAGTATCGGTACCATTTCAGTATATTAGAATTTCACAGACTCAAAACCAAAGTAGTATCGGTACCATAACTAAGAGTATCAGTACTACTACACTAAGTAGTATCGATACCGTATATGGTATCGGTACCATTTTAGCGTTTTGTTTTTAACAGTATTGGTACTGCCTCAGTAGTATCGGTACTACTTTATTGTTTTTGGGCTTTAGTATCGATACATATATCGATACTTACTGAACAATAACAGTAATAGTAATGTTATAGTAGTATCGGCACTACTATGCTTAAAAATCATTTTTGACTCAATTAAAGTACGAAACCCTTGGTAAAAATTATTTCAAAAATATTTCCAGTATATAACTCAAATTTTCAGTAAAGAGAGGAGTAAAAATTGACGTTTTAACTTTAAAGAATAATTATATATATTCGAATGATTGAATCGAATATAATATTAAAATTTGTAAAAATTAATTAACAATTTTGTTTGGTATATCAAAATATCGAAGTATTTCAACGGTCATTATCTTTTAATCGTTGATTTAGCTTCCTTTTAGAAAGAAAGATAAGTTCTTTTTTTCAATCCTTTGCTCACGGTAAGTTTTCTCTTCCCCTCTTCTTATTTCAGTTCGACTAATAATACTTAGTTTTCATATTTTTCGCTTTTGTGTCTGTCAGTAAAACCTTTTGATTCTTCTCCTGATAGTGTTATCTCGTTTAATTTCTTATTTAGGTTTCTTTTAGAAAAAATATTTTTATTTATATTTTTTTGCTTCTGTATAACTTCATGGATGCCATGATAAAAGTGACAAGTAAAGAAATTTTTTCTAACAAATTGCAACTCTGAAATATCTTAGCAGTAGAGAGTGAGAACCTGTCTGATTTTATGATTTCAAAGGCATTGAAAATGAAGTGTTTTTATTTTTTATTTTTTGAATATATTGAATAGAATAAAATTTTAGAAGTGGAAACGATTATGAATGAAAACAAACTATGAAATAAATTGTAAATAGACAAATTAACTATAAATAAACTAAAATAAATAAACCATAAAAGACTGTGAATGAAAACGATCCTGATTGTAAATAGACTAAAGAAAATAATTTGATTAAAAATGCTAAATTTTGCAACTATATATATATATATATATATTTGGAAAAGGGTTGATTTTGTATTTGATACCCGAGCCATATACAAAATTAGACACAAGTTTGAGCCATGTTAAAAATATCTTCCTAAATCTAAATGGAGGAAAAATAGTGTCCGTACTAGCATGGGGAGAATACACCGCATCTCATGCAGTCCTCGTTGCAAAATACCAATGCTCATATACTACACAACAAGGTCCATAGAAGCAACAAAGCACGTCCCTGCTACCCCATTCTAACACCTATAGACATGGCACAGCATGCAAACACCACATAACTCCCCAACACTGCATAGGAACTATCACAGAAAAGAGATCCAAACGGCTAACTGCAACAGGGATAAAAAACCAGCAACCTGAAAAGAATAGCTCCTCCAACCAGATAACCAAACTGCAGCAGGGAATAGCATAGACAGTATCACCTCGAAGGAAAAACGAAGAAGGATTCCAGCAACCAACAACCTGATCACAAGCAAAGGCCAACACCTGCAGCAAGCCACATCTATCCACCACGCCGCGACCAGGAGTAGCAACTTTAGAAGCACGATCCAATCCCACCCTGAGCACTCAAGGAGAAATAGAAAAACCAGAAAACCATTCCCATAGACTACCGCTACCCAGGTCCAACTCCATGCTTGAATGACCCAACCATAGTTATACTCTTAGACACAAACACATTGTGGGAATCGAGCAAAATCAGAAACCGAGCAAAGAAGGGCTGGTCATTTGAATTTAGCCCAAACTCCAGTCCTACGAACAGCTAAATCATAAATCTGCTCAGGTGGAAAAACGTTTTCCATTAAAATTCCACTCATTCCTGCACAGCTAGATTGTCCAAACAAAACCGAAAATAGCCATTTTCCAAACTTGTTTAGAAGAAGATTTTAGAGGGATGTTGTTCCATAATCCATAAAGGAACAAAAATCCCCTGGGATAACAAGCTGCAAATTCCAGGAACGCCACCAACGAGACCAAATATGCCAAACAACATTGCAATGACAGAATAAATGCATGACTGATTCCAGACACGAATTGCAAAACACACACACTTGAGAATCGGGAATAGTAACCCCACGTTTCGCTAGTTCTACAAAGGTAGGGATTCTCTCAAACTAATTTCTAGGCAAAAGCCTCCACTTTAGGCAGGGCGAGATTTGCCCAAACATACTTCCATAGCATTCTTTTCGTTGAGCCCTTAGAGGAAACCATCTTGCAAAACGTTTTTGGGCGGTACTCACCATTACCATCTCCAATCCAAATGATTGAGTCCGAGGAGCTTGAGGTTGATTGAACATTATTAATCATGCCCAAGAACCTTTCTAACTATGGGATTTCCCTGTCGAACAAAGGTCGCTTAAGTGCAATGTTCGATCTGTATTCTTCGTCAACCTTTGTCCCGAAATCGGCTACATCAAACTAGAAATCGATTGAACGCCCATCACCCAAAACGAATCTAAAATTCACCAACAAAGGATCATCTGCACGGAATAAGGGGATGATGATATTGTTCCACACCCACGACTTCCTTCTCCCACCAGATTGAGCAGGAAGTAAATTGAACTGGCCATAACCATATTTTTTACATATTACCTTCGTTCATAGGTTGTTTGGTTCCCTACAAAATCTCCAAAACCATTTGTTTAACAAAGCTCTGTTTCTCAATTTTAAGTCAAAAATACTGATACCACCAAAGCATTTCAGTTTACAGATTTGCTCCCAACTAATCCAATGAATGGGCCTGCCGCTGTTTGGACACCAAATGAACCTTGCAACCAACTTATTTAGAGAGTTTGCCACAGAACTAGGCATTTGGAAAAGAGACAAATAATACATTGGAAGATTCGAAAGAACCGATTTCACCAGAGTGATTCTACCACCCAAAGAAAGCAACTTGCCTTTCCACCCGTCGAGCCTGCTGGGCAACTTATCTAAGACTGGCTTCCATAACACGGAAGAGTTGCATTGGAATCCGAGTGGAAGCCCCAAGTACGTCGAAGGAAGATGACCCACAGAACACCTTATTACACCAGCCCAATCGTCAATTAAGCGTTCCTCCACATTCAAGCCGAACAACATCGTTTTTTCCACATTGAGCTTTAAGCCAGACATTATCTTAAAGAGCCTTAAGATCCTTTTAGAATTACGCACATATTTCTCTTTCGCTTCTAGAAATAAGATTAGGTCGTCCGCGAATTGCAAATGAGATACTCAAAACCCATTGTCTCCGATTTGGACACCATTAACAAGCCCCTCCGAAGCAGCTTCTCCCACCAAGTTAAACAGAAGCGGGGAGAGGGGACAACCTTGTCTCTATCCCCTTCTGTTATTGAATTTTTCCGTGGGAATCCCGCTTATCAAAACAGAAATAGAAGCTGCCGAATCACATAACTGAATCCACTTTCTCCATTTTTTCCAGAAACTCATGAGCTTCAACACAATATCCAAAAACTTCCAGTCAACCGAGTCGTAGGCTTTCCTAAAGTCTGCTTTAATGACAATTACCTGCCTTTTCCTTCTAGAAATGTCATCAATGATCTCGTTGGTGATAATGGAACAGTCTGCAATCTGTTTCCCATGAATGAAAGTAAATTGGGAGTCACCTACCGCCTCACTCATGATGACCGCTAATCTGGAAACGAGCACTCGAGCAATAATTTTGTACAAGCACCCCACCAGTTATATGGGTCTAAAATCTTCGATGCTTGTTGGGTCGCTTTTCTAAGGCTATAGTGTTACAAAAGAATGATTGATAGACTTATCCGCCAATTTCCCATTATAGAATTCCTCGAACATAGCCATCACTTTCTCCTTTTATCTCTGGCCAAAACTTATTGAAGAAACTAAGATTGAAACCATCTTGTCGCAGTCATTTTTCGGGTGGACTTCGACTTGAATAAATGGGTTAGAGTCGCCACCGATCATTTAAAAAATATTTAGATTGATCGGATATCATCTCACTTGGTCTGCGTTTTACCAGAAATATGTCAGATTCGGAAGTTGGTTACAGTCAAAGAAGAATTAACACTCTTGTACTATCATTTCGACTGGTGTCGGCTGTCGTTCATCGACGATGAGGCCTCAAAAAAATTTCATTTTTTAAAAGCTTTTCATATCCTTTATTCGAATATGTCATTCGTTTTCACAAAAAAGCCTCGGGGAAGGCTAGATATGAAGAAACAATCTTTCGAAAAAAAATTTCCTCTTCAATCCTTGGCTTTTCGAATAAAAAATAAAACCAAAACAAACTTCAAACACAACCACATGCAAACTAGCTCAGAAGGGTAAAAAATACATTGCTTATTTATGTTTTTTTCGAATGTTAGAAGTGCTCTCTTGCTTCGATCTTACTTGTCTATTTTGTTTTATAATTAAATGAATTTATAGCTTTGTGAACCCACTATTTTTGGGTTGATTTAGAGTTCCATTTCGACTGAAACATTGATTTGTTTTGCTATTTTTTGCCGAATGATTTGTGTTGTTGTTATTGCTGGAACGAGGACTCTGCAAGAGTCCTCGGGTTGATCGATGTTTACCCCTGAACGTTCGGCGTTAAAACCCTAACATTTAGCTCATCTGGACTGTTGGATCGGTTTAGATCCAACGGCTCTGGTGCTGCGACGCTGATATTCAAAAGATGAAACCCTAATTTACTAGGTCAGGCGAACTTGGCTCGGGTTGGTTTGTTGGGTTCTTGGCTGGGTCGGCTTGTTGGGTTAGGCTTGCCCGCCCGGTTCGGCTCCCTACTGGGCCTCTTGGATGGTTGGACTTGGTCCTTGAATTTTGGACCAAAGAAAGAAAAACGAAAATAAATAAATAAAAAGGAAAAGAAAAAAAATATAATATATAATACTAGACTATATAATATATAAATATATTTTTAAAAAAACTATATAATATATATATATTTTCAAAATATTTTCAAAAACTATATATTATATATATTTTTTTAAAAACTATATTATATATATTCAAAATGTTTTTAAAAACTATATATTATATATATATTTTCAAAATGTTTTCAAAAACTATATTATATATATTTTCAAAATATTTTCAAAAACTATATATTATATGTATGTTTTTAAAATGTTTTCAAAAACTATGTATTATATATATATTCAAAATATTTTTAAAAACTATATATTATATATATGTTTTCAAAATTTTATAAAAAAACTATATATTATATACTATATATATGTTAAATAAAACCCCGGACGAAAATGAGTGACTACAGCTGCCCCTATTTGCCCATTATCGTGTAACGAAAATAGGGAAACGATAAAAAGACACAAATTTTCATTCGACACATGGGCTTGAAAATGAGCATGTTCCTGTGGGAGTTGTCGACTTCTGAGTTTGAAATCCGACCCCATATTACCATTGAAGAAAAAGGTCAGCTCCCTATTGTTGAGTCGTATTGTGGGTGACTCTTGAGATGTCTTTGAACATGATATCTTTCGTTTTGAAGTTGAAATCATAGCTCAAAATCAGAAGGTGGCTTATTGTTTCCAAATCGTAGTCAACCTTAGTCCTCTTTTTGGCTTAAAGACCTCGTTTAAAATTCTACTGAGAATTACACCATACGATTGATATTCCCTCGAGCTGAATGGAATCGAACTTGAAAGTTATTGTTAACAGATAACTCTTCTCGCCTTGAGTTAAGTTGTACTAAGTTGGGAGATAACCCCCTGTTGTCGCAGATGACTCATTTGTTGTGACACTAGGTTAATCCATATGATATCCTTCTTCGTTAAGTTGAAATTATGGATGGCTCCTTCGTTGTGAAGTTGAGCTTTGAATTGGATGTCCTTCTTTGTGAAGTTGAAATTGAATCTTGTAAATTACATTGTCTTGAGTTTAATATCCTTCGCTGTGAAGTTGAAATTGACTCTAACAAGAATCTGCAAAACTTATGCGATGCTATGGATGCAATGTTCTTATGTGTGCCTAAAATGCATATGTGAAATATGTTATTTTAGGATTTGGAGGGAAATCTTCAATCTCTGGTTGTCATTCCCGATGACTCTTGATTCTGGAATCTTGAATTTCTGATCTTGATCTTGGATTCTTCACTATGTTTAAATCCGATGTATAGAATTTTATTTCTAGTCTTGGTTTGGGCAATGCCTTTCAGTTATCTCAAGTATAGTGCATAAGCCCTGATCAACTTCCAAATACCTGTACCTTTCAAGAAAATCTTTGTACAGTAATACACAATTATCTTTTCAAGAGTGAATAAATCATTAAGTTTAAATTCAACCCAAGATGCTTAAAAGGAATTGACTTAGAGAAATGGTCATATTTATTTATAAAGAAAAGGAACAAAGTATATGACAAACATTTTGGAAAGTAAAAAAGAAATATAAGTAGATGCCTTAGGTCTTAATAATGCGGGTGCCTTTGAACTGATACGCTGTTAGATGACTTTTGAGTACAACCTTTGTCAAGGGGACTTTGAAAATGTAACAATGTTCGGAAGTGCCATATTTACCTGAATCGTTAAGTCTGTAGACGATTTGGATATAGTGACGCAGAACCTTTCCTGAATCCTCATCCAAATTGCCCTTTCGGGTTTTCAATTTGGATCCATCCTTGGTTTCAAGATGCCCGTTACGGGTTTTCATCTTGGACACACCTTTTTATTTTGAATTTAAGGTGCCCTTTCGGGTTTTCATCCTAAGCGAAATATTTTTTACTGCATCTGAATTAACACGATTTGGCAGTTACGGCCCATCCATTTTAGTCAGAATCAGTGCTCCTCCGGAGAAAGCTTTCTTTATGACATAAGGTCCTTCCCAATTTGGCATCCATTTTCCTCTGAAATCTTTTTGAATTGGTCAAATTCTCTATAGTACAAGAACTCCCTCATGGAATACTCTTGGACACACCTTTTAATTATGTGCTCGGATCATTCGTTTTTTGTAGAGTTGACCATGACGAATGGCTTTTAAACTCTTTTCTTCTATTAGGTTCAACTGATCATATCAAGTTTGGACCCATTCTGTATCATCTAATTTAAATTCTGATACGACCTAGAGTGACGGAATCTATACCTCAGTGGGTAGTACTACCTCCATCCCATATGCTAATAAGAACGAGGTTGCCCCAGTCGAACTTCGTACCGAGATTTGGTAAGCAAACAGAGCAAAAGGTAATTTCTCGTGCCAATATTTATATGTTTAAGTTGTTTTCTCCACTATCTTCTTGATGTTTTTTTGCCGCTTCTACACCTCCATTCATCTTCGGTCTATAAACAGTAGAGTTGTGATGCTTTATGTTAAATTGTTTAAAAGCAGCATCCATCATCTTATTGTTCAGGTTTGTGGCATTGTCGATAATTATTCTTTCAGGTAAACCATATCGACATATGATCTCTTTTTTCAAGAACTTACAAATAGTGGATTGAGTGAAATTGGCATATGATGTAGTTTCTACCCATTTTGTGAAGTAGTCGATTGCCACAAGAATGAAATGATGGCCATTTTAAGCCTTCGGATAAATTTGTCCAATAACATCCATGCCCCACATAGAGAATGGCCACGGTGCGGTCATTACATGAAGAGGTTAAGGTGGAACATTGATTTTATCCCTATAGATTTGACATTTATGACATCTTTTAGCATAATTAATGCAGTCCTTTCCAATGTGGACCACAAATACCCGCATCTCATAATTTGCCTTGACATCATATGTCCATTCTCATACGTTCCGCAAACTCCATTATGTACCTCTTCTAATATCATCTTTGCCTCTTCTACAACTACACATCTCAACAAGATCTGATCATGGCTTTTCTTGTACAAGACCTCTCCATCAAAAACATATCTAGCCGCCATCCTTCTAATAGTTCTTTTATCATTTTCGGTGGCTTCCTCTGGATAACTTCGGTTTTTGATGTATTCCATAATGTCATGATACCAGGGCTTAATGTATTTTACTTCCTCAATTTGGTAACAATGAGTTGGGTACTCATACGACTACATGTCGATTGGCATCATATTAGACTCATCGCCAACCATGAATGCGGCTGCCAAGATAGCTAAAGCATCAGCCATTTGGTTTTCTTCTCTAGGCACATAATGGAAAGAGACTTCATCAAATTCTTCGAGTAGATCTAATATTAGCTTTCGGTACTCTACCAGCTTTACATCCTTCATTTCCCATTCTCCACGGAGTTGATAGATCACTAAAGTCAAATCTCCATATACCCGTAAGGTCTTTATATTTTTTCCAATAGCAGCTCGAATCCCCAAAACACAAGCCTCATACTCTTCCATGTTGTTAGTGCAATCAAAATTCAATCTGCTAGTGAATGGGTAATGATTTCCTTCAGGGAAGATCAATATTGCCCCAATGTCATGTCCTAATGCATTTGATGCACCATCAAAATATATTTTCCAGGAATCACATGTGGAAGTACTTGCTTTTTCTAGGGATGTGGCCATCAAGTCTTCATCTGGGAAGTCAAAGTCTAGCGAATCGTAATTTTTAGTAGTTCTGCTTACCAAGAAATACGATATGACACTTCCCTACTTTGAAAATTTTGTGCCATTATCTGTACGGCGAGCAGTGTCATATTTATACGGATCATATGAGTCTAAAGAACTTGCTGACTCAGAAAGAACTGAACTTGAGGAAGAGAAGATGGATCGAGCTTTTATAAGATTATGATTTGATCATTGATTATCATCCCAGAAAGGATAATATGGTAGTGGATGCACTTAGCCGAAAGACTTTTTGCTGCTCTACAGGCCTTGGATACGAGTATATCCTTAAAAGAAGATGGTGCATCGATTGCTGAACTTAAGTTAAAGTTGATGTTTTTGGATCGAGTAAAAGAGATATAAGGTCAATATGAGAAATACATAGCAAGAACGGAGTAAATAGAAAAAAAGAAGAGGTTAAAGATTTCGAAATGAGGGTTGATGAATGTTTATATTATTGTGGAAGACTTTGCATTCCCGATAATGATGAATTGAAGAAATATATTCTTTCCGAGGCAAACTATAGTCCTTTGATGATGCATCAAGGCGAGAATAAGATGTATCATGATTTAAAGAGTCGTTATTGATGGCCTGGTATAAAAAGAATGGTATCAAAGTTTGTTACGGGATGCTTGACATGTCAGAAAGTGAAAATTGACATCAAGTGCCTTTCGGATTGCTATAACCTATATCCATTCCTGAGTGGAAATGGGAATGAGTTGCAATGGATTTTGTTTCGTGGCTACCTTTGTCACTAGGTAAAAAAGACTCGATATGGATAATTGTGGACAAATTGATCAAGACGGCTCATTTTATTCGAGTTCGAGTATATTACTTGATGGATAAGTACGCGAAATTGTATGTAAAAGAGATAGTTAGGCTGCATGGAGTGCCTATATCAATAGTGTCTGATCGAGACCCAAGGTTTACTTCAAGATTCTAGAAGTCTTTACATGAGGCATTGGGTACTCGATTGAACTTAATCTGTAGACAAATGGGTAGATAGAACGAACTATTCAGATATTAAAGGATATGCTAAGGGCATGTGTGATTTAGTTTAAAGGATCATGGGAAATGTATTATCTTTAGCGGAATTTGTTTATAACAACAGTTACCAATAAAGTATTAAGATGGCCCCCTATGAAGCTTTGTATGGGAGGAAGTTTCGAACACCATTAAATTGGTTTGAACTCAAAGATCGGGATATGGTTGGCTGGATTTGATGAAAGAAATGGAGCAGAAAGTAAAATTTATCCAAGATAATCTGAAGATGGCCTCCGATCAACATAAATCTTATGCTGATTTGAAAAGAAAAGAAATTGAATTTCAAGTGGGAGACAAATTATTTCTAAAGGTATCACCTTGGAAGAAAGTATTACGATTTGGGCGAAAAGGAAAGTTGAGTCTAAGATTCATTGAACCTTATGAGATTTTGAAAAGGGTTAGACCAGTAGCATATCAATTAGCTTTGCCTCTGGATATGGACAAGATTCATAATGTTTTGATTCTTAGAAGGTACCAATCAGATCCATCCCATGTCATCACACCTGAAGAAATAGAAATCTGACATGATTTAACTTATGAGAAATAACCAGTGTGGATCTTGGCTAGAGAAGAAAAGAATTGTGTAACAAGAGGATTCCTTTAGTTAAAGTTCTCTGCATAACCATAAGGTATAAGAAGCTACTTGAAAAAGAGACGAGGACATTAGGAAGCAGTTTCCACACCTTTTCGTTTCATGTACTTCTCTGAGTTCGAGGACAAATTTTCTTAATGGGATAATTGTAATACCTAAATATCAAGTCAATGACTTTATTAAAAAGATTTAAAATTGGATGATTAATTTGAATAAATGATAAAGGATAATAAATGAATTAGAAATAGTCTTTAAGACCAATTAGTAATAATGGATAAATAAAGAGGGCATTTTGGTTCTTTAAGGGGAAATAAATTTAAAAATGATTTTATTAGGGATTTAAGAAGGGGGAAAAAGAGAGGAAAGTTAAACTAAACTAAGTCATCTCTTCTTCTTCCCGTGTTCACGTGCTCTCCTCATATCCAAGGTAAGTTTTCTTTGAGTTAGTTTATTCTTTAGTTTATGGACAAGTTTTGAAACCTTAAGTGATATAGTGGCTTAAGGAAAGTTGAAGGATGATTAAACCTAAGTGATTAGTGAAATATTAGAGATTGAAAAAAATGGTTTTTAAATGATATGTTGGAATATGAGTTTTTATTGATGTTTAATAGTATATTTAACTTGTCAAATAAGTAAATAAGAGATTAAAGCCTTTGAGGTGATTAAAAACATGTTAAAAAAAGTGGTATGATTCTTGGTTTGAGATGTTCTTTGGAGATTTTAGATGTTATACAAAGCTAAATGAAGTAAGTTTGTTGGGATAAGTAAATAATAGTTTAATAGTATTGTTGGAGGTAAAAGTAACTGAATTTGACCAAATTTGGATAAAAATCGGGCTGAAAAATGGAAAATCTGGGTAACGGTATAGGTACTGGAAGAATAGTATAGATACTATATGTTTAAATTTGGGGAAATGAGATGATCAGTATTGATACCATGGATTCCAGAATGCAAAAATGGTATCGATACTTAAGGGAGTATCGGTACCATAGTATAAAAGTATCGATACCATGGTAGGGGTACCGATAATATTGAGTTTGAAAAATTAAAATAGGACAAATTTTGATAGAAATTGAATATAATAGTACTTTTAAGTATTATTAAAAGTATAAATGTTAGAGAGTATATTAACATTGGTATGGTATGTGTACTTAATGGATGCTTGTGTAGATCGTAACTAAGCTCCCGAGTCAAGCAAAAAAAGGGCAAAGATAAAGTTGGCGAATAGCTAGACATCCTTAAAGCATACTAACGAGGCATACCAAGTGAGTTCATTTATTATGTACATTAAGTGTTATAGATGCATGTTATTAAAGGCATATGTTGCATTTGTATATCAATATTATGTGTATTATTGACACTAAGTGTGTAACCCATAGAATTCATCATATGTTGATGAACGACCGTATCAACACTAAATGTGCAAACCATAGAATTCATTATATGTTGATGAACGACCGTATCGACACTAAGTGTGCAAACCACGGAATTCATCATATGTTGATTAACGACCGTATCGACACTTAATGTGCAAGCCACGGAATTCATCATATGTTGATGAACGACCGTATTGACACTAAGTGTGTAAACCATAGAATTCATCATATGTTGATGAACGACCGTATCGACACTAAGTGTGAAAACCATGAAATTCATCATATGTTAATGAACGACCGTATCGACACTAAGTGTGTAAACCATAAAATTCATCATATGTTGATGAACGATCGTATCAGTACTAAGTGTACAAACCACGAAATTCATCATATATTGATGAATGATCGTATCGGCACTAAGTGTACAAGCCACGGAATTCATAATATGTTTATGAACGACCGTATCGATACTACGTATGTATCTCAATGAAATTATAATGATTTGAAAACAATGAATTTGTATTCGATAGATATGATATAATGATGTATTGATCTCAACTCACTAGTATTCTTGCCTGACTAAGTGAATACTTAACGTGTGTTTATTTAACGCATAGTTTTTATCAAGTAGAATAAGGAGTGCCTCTGACATCGCAAATCGAGAGTTGCCTCATCAGTAATTGTACGATAGCTATGTGTATTTTTTATATTATTAGTCAGCATGTAATAGAATTATGATAACTGTCTGAGAAGTATTTGACTTATAATAATGTAGAAAGGATAAAATATTTGAACAGTAAATTTTAGTTATATACTAAAGTTTAATGAACTTTTTGTTAGTATTAAATATAAAATGCTTTATAAAAAGGAACAAAATTTTATGGGTTTTCAACGGAGAAAATGCTTTAAAAGTGACGTGACATCTGTATCTCATGTATGGAAATGTATACGAGAAATGGTGTTACACGAATGCCTCTCCCTCCTCTTTTTTTCTTCATTCTTCTCTTGTTTTCGAATGCTTCCCCCTGATTTATGGATGACTTTAGGGTAGATATGATGAGATCTCTAACATAGGTATTTTTCTCTGATTAAGGTTAGTAAAATCCTAATTTTTAGGGATTTATAGTATTTTAAAATGGGTTTTGGATTTGGTTTTGAATTGGTGATTGATTGATGCAGCATCGGTCACTGTTCGGTATTGATTGTTGACGACGGTCGGTAGTGGGATTGATCGGTGGCAGAACATACGAGCGGGGAGCTGGATGGTTGAGTTTGTGCTCCTCACGTGCGGCATCGAACGGTTATGATTCCATCGGTTATGGCAGTTGATAATCTTTTAG